AGACGAGGGGCTATAGGATAGGGGCAAACGAGCATACGGCTCACCTGATGGTAAGTGATTACCGTTGCCGATGAACAATTGCAACACCAGGGGAATTGCGTTACCGGCATTTTAAAAAGGAGTAGGCTCTATTCTGGGGGGGGGGTAAAATTCTGCTCAAGATAACAACTGCTCAGGGCATTCTGAGCAATAAGACCAAGGCGACCCCTGCCACGCTATCCGTGAATTTCTCCAATATCAGGGGACTTCATTCTAACCTAAACGCCGTCCACTACCACCTAGAGACGGCGAGGCCGTCTCTACTTTTACGAGCTTGCGTGTACGTCAGAGAGGACATCTGTTTTCGACGCCTCGGTAATCTTAAAGGTTCGTACCTGTCCATCCTTTGGCTACGCGTAGACGGAGCCGAACATCTGCGCGTCTACGGGTGCCTCTATAGGTCCCATAGCGGTAATGCCGAAACAGACCGACTCTGCAACCACGTCCAAATGGCTACAGATTCGTTGCCACAGCAGGTCCCTCCGCAGTGATCGTGATCATCGGCAATTTAAAGGCCCACCACGCCGAAGACTGTGGAATGGCTTTGTTCACGTTTAACCGATCATGCGGAGAGATCTGCTCATGATTTTGCATTGGCATATGGTCTGACACAACTGGTTACTTCACCTACGTGGATTCCAGATGTGGAGAATCTCTGATTCTGTCACTGATGTGGTACTTCAAGGTATGGAACTTTTTATTCCTTGCTCTGTGGTGCCCATTGGAGTCAAATCTCAGCCATGGTTTAGTCGCTCCTGTAAAATAGCATCATGCTTTAAGCAGGAGTGCTACCAGGCCTAAGCTGACGCATCAACGTCCCGGGTTGTAAACACCAGTGCTCTAAAAACGAAGTATGATTTCGCCTCCATGTCCTTCAAAAGAGTATTTACCAAGGCAAAGTCAGAGCACATAGGCAGAATCGGCGAGAAATCGCCTTCCTTCGAGAACCCGTGCATTCGGGTCTCTCACCAAGGCTGTCCAAGGGAACTTCTGCCAGCCATCTCTTCCATCTTTGCGCAGGGAGGACGACTCACTGGCCCATGCCGTAAAAATGCTGAGGACGTGTGATTCAGAGTGGGCATCGGTCTTTACGCGTCTTTCCCGGTACTCTTACTCCCTAGGCGTAGTCCCGAAATCATGGAAGACAGCGGTCGTGGACTTAAACCCTAAAAAAGGTAACCGCTCTGATCTGTCCAACTATAGACCTATCGCAATCATTATTAACAGCCAGCTCATGATACCTGCTCATGGTACCTTGAGGATCACCAGCTGATTAGTGATTGCCGATACGGTTTTCGTAATGGTCGATCAGCTGATGATCTTCAGGTCTACCTGACTCATAGATGGGCGGAGGTAGTAGAGTCCAAGGGCCTCCCCCTTGGATTCTACTGCCGTTAGTTTGGACATTGCGAAGGTGTTCGATCGGGTTTGGCACAAAGCGCTTCTTTCGAAGGTCCCTTCCTCTGGGCTTCCAAAAAATTTTGCTCACCAGGTTTCTTGCAGATTGGAGCATCAAGTCTCGGATTGGGGCGACTAAACCTAGACCAGTTTAACCCTCAGAAGACATAAGTTTGCGCGTTAACCGCTTAAAAGAACCCCTTTGTCGTATCTCCTCAGTTTCAAGGTATTCCCTTTGTCGCCTCAGCCAGTATCGGAATCCTTGGCATCAACATATCGAATGACGTGCAGTTTCGTGGTCACTTGGAAGAGAAGGCCAAACTGGCCTCTAAAAATTCTGGCGTGCTCAGCAGAGCGGGACAGTATTTCATGCCGGCACACCGTCTGCAACTTTAAAAGGGCACAGGTTCGGTCACACATGGAATACTGTTCCCATCTCTGGGCTGGGGCTCCCCAGTGCCAGCTCCTTTCACTTGACCGCATCCAGCGGAGAGCGGCTCGAATTGTCGACGACCTAGTGCTTTCCTATCGGCTCGATTCACTGGTTCTACGAAGAAATGTTGCTTCTCTTTGCATTTTTTTTTTCGGATATACGACGGGAAGTGCTATGACGAATTGTTCGGAATAGTTCCAGCCGCCAAATTTCATGAACGCAACGCAAACCCCGAACAATCTGACCAACAGTTTCTAGTTCTTCCGCGTACGATCTCTCTGTAGGAATAGTTTACCATCGGTGATTTTCCCGGACCGATACAACCTAGGGACCTTCAAGAAAAGAGCTTACACCTTTCTAAAGGGCCGGCAACGCATCTGCAATTCCCCTGGTGTTGCAGTTGTTCATGGGCGGCGGTAGTCACTTAACATGTTGATCCGTATGCTCATTTGCCCCCTCGTCTATAAAAATGTGGTCATATTCTGTATGACTCCTTTCAATGCTTTGTGAGTGAACAGATTTTAAAATTTGAGGAGTCATCCAGTCGTCCAAAAGAAATCAGCCCACAAATGGCATATGCTATTTTGTCTTTTTGTGCCAAATTTTACGTACGTGCTGCGGTGTTCAACTCTTTGGATGCACGTCCCATTTTTAAATCGCCTCGTTGATATTATTAGGAAAACTGAAAGAAAATCTAAATTGTCCATTAAATGAAAATTCCTGGGTTCAGGCTACACTTCCCGTTAGACTTGGCGGTCTAGGCATCCGAAGAGTTTCTAGCGTAGCACTTTCGCTACTTCTTGTCTTCAGTTCATAGCACGTCAGATCTCATTGAAACATTTAGTAACCCATCACTCGGTGATGTAGAGGTCTCGTGCTTGGCTGAGGCCAAAGAAGCCTGGATCAATAAGACCGGGCCGGACCAAGTTTTTCCGATGAACCCAGCTTAGCAGAAGCATTGCGATGAGCCACTCAGTATCCAGGTTCAAAAAAAACCTATTAAATAAACTGCGGAAACCCTACAGAGCGAGCTCGTCTTATAGCATCTTCATAGATAGCCGGGTTTTTGGTTGAATGCGCTGACCTCATCGAATATCGGAACAATCTTAAACAGTCCTACTTTCTCCCTTTCTATCAGTCTGAGATTACGTTTAAAAACCAATGAGCTCCATCGTTTGGTGTAGAAATGCTGGGGCCGTGTGGTCCTGAAGCAAGACGTTTGTACAGAGATATCTCAATTGCTCGCCTTGTCAATGTCTCTGATGGCCCAAAAGCTGGAAGGTATTTTGGTCAGCAGATCAGCCTCGCAATACAGCGAGGCAACTCAGCCAGTTTTCTGAGCACACTACTAACAGACGGCGGCGATTTAGCAAGTATTTTTTACTTAAGTTTTTCATACTGTATAATTTTGTAAAACACTATTTTCCTTTAATTTGTTTATTACGTTTATTAGAAATATTCATGTTTTAATTTCATTTGTTTATAAGTTGCATTTTTTCGGCCTTAATAATTTAATATTATTTTAAACAATAATTCTTATTTATTATATATTGTTGAATTAATTTACATGCTTAGTATAAAAATAACTAAAATATATCTACTAAAAACTGGATAATGATAGGGTAATATGTGATAAAATTATTAGGTTAAAATGTATCATGACATATACTTTGACATGTACTTATGATGTATGTATCTAAGTATAGATATAGTAATAGCATCTGGATTGAGCTTTACTCGGTATTTTTTAATTTTTTTTTTTTTTGGAAATCGTGTTTTATGTAAATTATATTTAGATACAAATTACAAACTGATCAAATATGAATAAAATTTTTCGATCTTCTCGATCATTATTTTTCGTGTTTAAAAAATATATCCCAAAAAATGTGGCTCCAAATAAAATAATATGTTTTTTCACAAAAAAAAAGGAAAAAAGAATCAGACCGCAGACATTTGGACTTTATCCGGCGTTCTATGATTTCAGCACCGCCAGATATCCCATTTGAGCTGTTATAACCTTTTAGACACCGGCTAAATTTACTTTCGTATTCTAATGATATTGTAGCAGTTTTTCATTGCCTAAAAACATGGATAAAAAGACATTTTCTAAAATGAAAAAATGAATCCTAGCTAGATCGATTTATTGCCCCCGAAACCCCCTGCATACTAAATTTCATGAATGTCGTTGGAGCCGTTTCCGAGATTCCGATTATATATGTACAAGCATTGCTCGTTTAAAGGTATTGGATAATCTGTTAATAAAAAGCTAATTTACCTTAACAAACGCATATATTAATTTAATTTAAATAAAGAGAAAATGAAACGTAAAAAAGACTGCTAGCAAAATTTTATTAAAATACAACAAAGTCTCGAGTAAAGGTGATTACGACTCGTAAGCGTGCTGTGGCTCGTGCGTACGAGTCGTAGACTAGTATATATGGGTGCCCCAATTCGAAGAATCCCTAAGTCCTAGTTAGGGATATTTTGCACCAGTAACACAGGTTGATCGGCCGTTTTTCTCTATCGATACGTCCAACAATTTTTTTGTTATGATATCCCTAAGTGGGTTTTCAAAAAATAACAAAAATTTAAATTGACGAAAATTTCAGTTCCAAAAATCCCTAAGTCCAATAAATCCCTTAAGTCTTAAGTCCATAAGGTTTTACCAAAAAAGGACTAAATTAAAAACAAAATGAATATTTCAAAATCTTGCAACATTATGATGCAGGTTTAAACCCGATCGTTTTTTATCTCTCTGAGGTGTTCAGTGAAATCTTTTGAATTATTACCCTCTTTCCGTGTTGCAAAGTAATTGGTGCCAAAGTGTTACGAATAATAGTGAAATATAACTATTATTATGGATTCTGAGGACAAATTGTCAAGGTAAGTTCGTAATATGAGCGAAAAACGTGTGTTTGGCTTTCTATTGCAAAGTTAAATAAGTAATAATATTTCAGACTTATACGAGTCCGGATTGTTTAACGAGGTTTCTTGTGATGAGGAATGGACTCCAGACAATTTTAAAATTAATGATGCGGACAAGAAATTAAAATTGTCAGGAGCATGGTCAGCCACAAACATAGATATATATACAGATCCTTCGCCTTCGTGTTCTTATAGTACGCCACACATGGAAGTAGAACAAAATGAAGCATCGGATGTCGAACTTAATTCCCTATCTGAGTCTAGACCTTCTGAAAGCCTTGTTGAACCGTTGCAAATTATTGAAGAGGACCCAGTTACTGACTCTAATATCTCCCTTAAAAATATAAATGATGAAATTAGAGGTAGAAGTAGATGAAAATATCAAGAAAGGAAAGAAAAGAGTTGCAAGGCCAGAGAAGTGGGAAAAAATATATCAAGAAAAAGAAAAATACAGGACCATACTTTACGTGAAATAAATTACTGTCGCTGTGAATGTAAAGATAAGTTAACGAGAAAAACCATGGAGGCAATAAATAAAAAATTTGTTAATTTTGAAAATCACTCGTAACAAAATATATATTTACAGGGCTGTCTTGAAGAAATAGTACCAACTAGATTCCGACCTCGTACTGAAGTCAAAAACGAAGCTAGAAATCGGCGAGTATTTAAGTACTATGTTACTTTCAAGGGTAAGAAGATCGAATTACGTCAGCAGGCCTTTTTAGCTGTACATGGAATAAAGAGAGACCGATTAAAATACAAAGTACAGCATTTTGAAAAAGACATTACTGATGGTCGAGGACGTGACCCAAGCAAGATAATATACACTGAGGCTGTAATTAAAAGAATTCATTCATTTATAGAAAATATCCCCGCAAGAACGTCGCACTATTCTCGATCTTCTAGCAAACATAGGATCTATGTTGATTCCCATCTTAATATTGCTAAACTTCACCGCGATTTTCTTAAACAGAATACCGATTTAAATGTATCAGTCACTTATGAAAATTTTCGAGAAATTTTTAATACAGATTTTAATATTTCGTTCGCAGTTCTTCGTAAAGATATATGTAGCACTTGTGAAAAATTTCAAGTAGATATTCAATCTGCTGAAATTATGAAAGAGAAGGATAAAGTTGCAAGTTTAAAATCGGAACGTGAATTGCACTTGCGCAAAGCCAAAGTATTCTTGAAAAAGTGTAGTTCAGTAAAGGAAGACAAAAATGTGAATAAAAACAAATTATCTATTTGCTTCGATTTTCAAAAGAATATCTGCCATTGCCGATCACTAATGTAACTGATGAATATTATCTCAGGCAATTATGGCTTCATAATTTTGGTATACATAACTTAAAAGAAAACTCAGCAACTATATACTTGTTTACGGAAAATTATGCCCATAAAGGGCCGAATGAAGTAATAACTGCTTTGGACGATTATTTTTACACCATAAAATCCCAGATCAGACTCATTTAGAAATATTTTGTGATTGTTTCAGTCAAAATAAAAACAGATTTATTTTTACGTATTTTGATCAGTTGTGTGCGAAAGGTTTGTTTGAAACAATTTCTGTAAACTATCCAATTCCTGGGCATTCAATGATGCCCATTGATAGAGATTTTGCTCTCATAGAAAGACAAAAATTAACCTGTAAGCTCTGACAGCGCGCGACATGTTATACTCCCGTTCGCTCGGGACCGTAATGGCGGCAAAATTTGAAAATTAGCAAATTTTTTGCTATATTGCAAATTTTGCTATATTTTCACTTTGAGACAATATTTATGGATAAAACTTACAGGAATTCTTGTTGAATGTATAAACTATCGAATAAAATTTTTTTTGGTTGCTAGAAATTGTAATAAAATACGTAAATTACCCTGTATAGCACAGTAGTAGTATGTACTTCAATTTTAGTGACAAAATTACTACTAATTTGAATTCTACACTTTTGTTTTTGGAGAAATTTATATCAAATTGTTTGGAAATATGTATATTTTTATGTTTTATGTGTTTCCATTCGTTACTGATACCAAAATATAAAATATAAAGAAATTAAAAAAAATTAAATATTAATATTTTATCTGTGTGACATTTAGAACAATATTTCTAAAATAGTTTTGTGTGAATTTGAAATAAATACAACGTCAAGTTATTTGAAATATGTAAGAAAACTATTTTTACTTACATTTTACACTAAAAATAAATGAGAATGTGAAAAATACCACATTTATGACCCAGCCGCCATAATGGGCCTTCCAGATTTTGAAGCACTTTTGGCAATTTACTTTTAACTTTTTATACCACAAATTATATATATATATATATGTGTTCACTATATTACAAGGAATATAAAAAAGTATAATACTTTCGTTTTTAGTCCAGACACAAATATAAAATTCTATAAAAAAAGACGGAGCACCTTTATCAAAACGGCACGTGGAACGCCGAAAGTTCAGAGTGATTTCTTTTTTTTTTTTTTCTAAGAAACATTGCCAGGTTATGGTTTAAAATAAAAGAGCATATCTTTGTCTTTGATACTAATATCTATTGCATAGCGTCTTTGGTTTTGTTTAAAACGAAAAAATAGTTTTTTCATAGGTAGACATGTTTACATAATTCTGATCTAATTCGATCACTACTTGGCGGGCGTAAGGTTGGTATTGCGCGATCGAATGTGAGCTAGGCTTGGTTAACAGGAACATGAAAAAATTTATGAACCTGACAGTTATGTCAATTTTGTATTAAGAAGTAGAAATGCCAAGAAATTTGAAGTTGTATTTTTAGAAAAGAACCTGATAGAAAGAAGGCAAATAGATAGGAGCGGAGAAGAGCGAGAAGAACAACGTGGTAACGAAAGCGTATTGAAAGTTAAAGATTATAAAACTTATTATAATGATAATATTAAACAAACAATACCGGGAATTTCAGGTTGTCGTCGAGTTTTATTTAAAAGACATGCAAAGCCAGCCTTTTCTGATTCAATGACTGGCGATAACTTTAAAGATTTTTCTTTATATAGAGTTGGTACTCATATATCTAGGTACCTTCGAGATGTTCCTGCTGATTGTTATCAAAATGCTATTAAAATTAAAGAAGCTAAAATTAATGACATTAAAAAACTTATTCGATGTGTACCACAAGAAAAACAAATTCCTATGAAACTTTGATTATGGAACAGGCTAAATTAGATGAAAGTCAAATTGTTGAGAAATTGGACGACGAAATAGAGTAACTAGCCTAGATATTTTTAAAGGCTAATAGGTATTACTCATTTTTGATTAATAGAATACTGTTAAAGAAGCCAACTTTGTTTTGTTAAATTCCTTAGTCCTTAAAAAGAGGGAAAGATAACCCTAAGTCCTGTTGATTTAAGATAAGTCCAAAATTTTGTTTCTTAAATTAAAGTTATTACAAATGCTTTTTATGTTTTGTTTTATGTACTAAAATAAAGAGTATTTTGTGTACTATAACAGTATGTTATTTTAATTTCAACATGTCTTTTTTTTATATCCCCAAAAACTGAAATGGTGGACCCATAAGGACGTCACTGTAACGGTCGCCGCCAGTTGGCCGTTGGCAGCGATAAAACACGCAGTGTTTTGTTTGATTTATTTTTTATATATTTATTTGATTTATTTTTTATTTATTTACACACATCAAGATACAGAAGCAGTCTTATCGTAAGTTTGTACAAAGGTTCTACTTATTCCATAATTTGCTGAAATATGTTTCAGTAAACCCATAAAGGAAATTATATTTAAATGGCAAACTTAGTGCATACATTACTAATGAATAAATAATATAGAAAATGTTACGAAAATTATATAAAATAAAACAATAAATAAAAATAAAATAAATTAGTAGATAAAAATAATAAATACGATAGTTAGTTTAGTAGATATGATATATATAAACTAATACTAATATAATAGAATAATATATATTAATTAACAGGATGCAAAGAAGTTATCTCTAAGACGTTTCTTAAATACCAATAAAGTTTCGGAATTTCTTATATTAGACGGTAGTGAGATCCATAACCTTACCGCGTGAACTGAAAAGGATTGGTAGTAAAAACCGGAATTATAGACGGGAAAGTCAAGAAGAGTTTTAACAAGGGATCTGCATGGTTTATCCGGAGGATGGGTGAAGGAAAATCGGCTTCTGAGGTATGTGGGAGAGGAAGAGTTGTGCAAGATGTTATAGAGGAGACATAACAATCGAGTGTTCCTTCGAAGTCGAATTGGGAGCCACTTGAGTTGCTTGCGAAACTGAGGTATACGGTCAAATTTCTTGAGCCCAAATATAAAACGGATATACTAATTTTGCAAGCGCTCAAGTTTATTAAGGAGCTCCTCTGTAGCATCCAAATAACAGGCATCTGCATAATCAAGGAGAGGTAGGATAAGAGTAAGCACGAGTGATATTTTAGCTTTTAGAGATGAGAAATTTTGTAGACATTTAAGCAAATGCATGGTAAAGTGGACCTTACGACTAACCTCGGCGATATGCGTGGTCCTTGTTAAATGGTGATCAAATGCGACGCCTAATTTTTTGACAGTATTGGCAAAGGGTATAGGAACGCCACTATAACAATCAAGAGGTAGTGATGTAAATTCTAATTTATTACGCAAATGCCTGCTGCCTATCATGATGGCCTGAGATTTCGTGGGATTAACTAATAGTCCGAAGGATGCAGACCATTCACAGATGCGGTTCAGATCCGCATTCATGGCTGCAATTGCATTATTTGAATCACCCACCGAAAAATGACGATACAGCTGTAATTCATCCGCGTAGAGATGATAATTAGATGTAATAACACGTAATAGAGTTAATAAATATGGAAAATAAAAGAGGAGAAAGAACGCCACCCTAAGGTACACCCGTAGTGAAATCAGACCAATCGGAAAGAGTGTCATTAAGACGGACACAGTGTGAGCGACCACGAAGATACGAATCAAACCACGCGATGGGAGATGGGGAAATGTTTATAGATTCCAGGATCCGGAGAAGAATATCAAAGTCTACTGAGGTAAAAGCACTGCTAAAGTTAAGCAAAATAAAAGTGTGAGAGATTTGTTCTCCATGTCCCAACGAATATCATCGGTTACTTTAAGTAAAGCAGTGACAGTGCTGTGTCCACGACGAAAGCCCGACTGATAAGTGAAAAGCGAAGAGTTAGACGATAAGACGAGAGAGAGAGTTGACTATGAATGATGTGTTCCAGAACTTTAGAAAGAAGGGGTAAAATAGATTTGGGACGAAAGTGGGACAAAGAAGAAGGATTAGAAACCTTGGGCAGAGGAATTATATATGCTTGTTTCCAAACTGAAGGAAAAGATGAGGACGATATAGAAAAATTAAATATGTGAGTTAGAATTGGTAGAAGTAGTGGTAGAACTGGCAAGATCATCTTCGTGCATAGACCGTCAATACCAACAGCATTTGAAGAGATGGCTAGGATGGATTTTTTGACATCTTCCTCCGTCACAAGGGAAAGATGAAAAGGTCGAAACGTGCGGTTTCGGTATACCCGACAATGCTAGTAGTGTGTTTGATTTGATGTAAGGATCTAAAGTTATAGGAGGAGTAGCAAAGTGATTGTTTAGATCATTTACTTTAACGTCATTGTATTCTAGGATCGGAGACCTGCCCACACCAACAGAGCGAAGGAACTTCCACATCTCAGTAGAACTTTTATTATGGAGACTATTGTGACTATGAAACAAATAAAGTGTTCGATTAGTGTCTAATTAACCTTTTTAACTAAGTATAAATATTGTATAGCGCCGAAATGTACAAACACCTTTATTAAAACGCCAGAAATACTATTTTTTAACGTGCCAAAAGACCTAAAACTTCGTAAAAATTATAATCCGTTGCGTTCTTCTTATTCCTTGCCGATAGCTTTAAGAAAGCGCTATTCTAAAGCGATTTCAATTACACCTGATGGTTTGATAAACTTTATCTCTGTGGGATATAGAGGGAGGACTTTGCAAAACTTTCCTTTCCTTTCTTTGTCGAGGGATATTTTATTTCTACTACGTATTCACTTGTCAATCCATCTGAAGAAGCACTTAAATGAGGCCTATCGGATTTTAAAAAGAAACCACAATTTTCGTTATCTATTTTCCTTGTTTTGGCTACTTCTGTTCTGACATCGGATTCCAATCGTGTGTCTCTTTTCACAGACAGTGTCTCTGGTACAGAAGTAACAAATATTTGTTCAATCAAAGCACCATCAGGAGTCTTGAAATGTGCAGCTTCGTGAACTTTAAACACGGTTATTCTACA